ACTCATTGAATCCTGTTAGAGGGGAGATGTTGTAATATTAACTTGTGGGTACCCCTCTGTGGAGTCCCTTATGTTTTCGTGGGTCGCCCCACATCTCGCAAACATGTGTGTTGGCTTATGTCGGACATTGTGTTGACAGTGTTTAACGTTGCGTTGAGTATTTGAGCCTTATCTAAAGCTATCTTACAACACCTGGCTACAAGTCCATTGAATTACTTTTGATTTCAGTCCCTCGCAATTCAAAACCGCCTCACAAACGCCATCTGTGAATGACTGTCGGTCCCGGAAAATGCTGAGATCGTCTTGGCTGTAGGTTATTAAGTACACACTTCTCACTTTGGCTGGCTGCAGTTCGTTAGCGGAACTTTCGGACTGTGAACTACTACATACATAATGAGAGAGTAACTCCATCGTTATGTTCCGACGAACTTCTTTGACAAGTATAAGCAGAAATATGGAACCGTTACGCTACTTTTAATTTCCTGCGCAATAATTCCAAAAGCATTCTTCAAACAGAATAGAAAGCCGACTAAGTTAAGGCATGAACTTGACAATTTCACTCTGAATGTCGCACGCCTTTATGCATTTTTTGTTTAAAGTATGTAAAACGCTTAAACTTTTTCGATCTCGACTGGGTATGCCTTCACCACAAGGTTTGTGTTCTGATATACAGTGAATCTTTTAAGCATGCAACTGCTACAATAGTCCCTCCATTACTATAAATAACACACCTAGTCACGCCAGTATGAATCTCGGACAATCTTGGACAGAGTAAAAAGGAACAATTAACGCCCTTCCCCCCCAAAGCAATGATGAAGGCGCAAAGGAGCAAAAACGCGCCATTTTGGCATCATTGAAATGGGGCGGAGGGGTGGTCCAGGTGTTCCATTTATTTTGTCCAAGATTGTAGAATGAGAATACCACTGAGTTTTGAAATTTGTTTTTGTTGTAGGTAAATGTAGCAAGATATTTTCCTCGGGCTTCTGTAGGAAAGCCCAAGTAAAATGCAAGCCCTTCTTGGTCACCAAAAGTGGGGTCATGGTCCTGGGCATTCCTAGTGTAGACCGTGGAAACTGGGGATGAGAGTGCAACAGCTTGTGTTATCATATGCTCGCTCTTCATGAAAAACATAATTTGCAGAAATATGCTGTGTTTTGTGCAGAACGTTTTGAAAAGAATCACGCCTTACATGTTCATCTCACATACAACTGATGACAATTGTTTTTGGAACTTGTTGGTCCACAAATTATATTGCTTGATAGCCTGTCAAATAAGCAAAGTTCATATTCATTCTCGCGAGATAACAACTGAGCCATGCACTAGTTCAAACTATGAAAACAGTGGCAAAAACTATGACTACTGACTTAAAAACAAACTATGATATTCAGACAAACACCTCAGAATCAAGAATTGCCGTAAACAGAACTTTGAAGATGAGGCAAACAACATGCAATTGGATAAAGAGGATACTTGACAAGGCAACTTGAATAGTAAATTAATATCTAAGCATAACTCTTGTGTTTAAATATCCTGATTCTTTCTTTTGTTTCTATTGCATTCAGTCAGCTTACTTGTTAAGTACAATTTTATATTGTGGTTTGAAGCCCGAGTAAACACTCTTAGAACATCTTGTTATTTGTTAGTTTCAAATGGTAACTTGACATTTTTGTTTTTCATGCACAAGCGGTTGCAATAAAAACAGATGAATCAGTGACTCTTGTTCACACGATCAGAACAAACAAACAAGAAGCCAATCTGGCGGCATGTCCAGAAACTTTGACTTGATATAAATGTTTGGCATTTTAATATCTTGCGTTAATGGGAATTCTTAAAAACTGGAATTTTTAGCAGAGGTTTTATTAAAGGTTTGTGGTATGGAAACTCAAATATTCCTGATGACTTCATTATTATTATTTATTATTTATTTATTTATTTATTTATTCCATTCTAAAATTACAAAGATAAATATAAAGTAAACAAGTAAGAGGAGAAATGGAAAAGGGCAAAAATATAGCAAGCTAATTAGATGCCCTTGTTTAATTGACAATAATAATTAGGGTAAAAAAGTTAACTTAACATAGGAGAGGAAGAGGTATGAAGAGGTATGATGACTTCATGGTGGCAAGTTAAGCCCCAAATTAACTAGATTACACTTTAGGGTGACACAGCGGTTCTTTTGTTTTGAAAGAGATTCCTTGCGTGGTTCAAAGGGGTAAACTTACAACTCCCATTAAGTGACAAAACTCTTTCAATCTGTAACTGACGTTTTGTCACCAAAAAGGGCCTCAGGCTCTGGGAAGGGTAATGTGACAAGGACACTTCCCAAACTCTGCAGATTTCATGGCATCTTACTACAATTATCAGTTGAGTAAGGCGGGACGAAAGTTTGGTCACCAAGTTTTAAGGTAAAAATCGTTTTGTTGTCACGAGCAACTGGCTCCGTATCCGTTGGCAACTTGTCCGCCTTTGACGTCAATTGGCAGAAAAGCGCGCGAAATTGTAGGCGACACGACAGGCGACCAACGGCTGTTGATATTGTTACCAACGGAAACGAGGTAAGTTGCCCGTGACAACAACACGATTTTTACGTTAAAACTTGGTGACCAAACTTTCGTCCCGCCTTACTCAACTGATAATCGTAGTATAAAATTTATAGAGTTTTTCTTGTGTCTGGTTGTTTCAAGTCTCAAGTTTATTAGGTAACGCTGTTTACCTTCAATGATCTCTTCTTGTTTAAATGGGATTTGAAATCAATATTAATTTGAAGTGGTTGCATGGAATATCAAAACTATTGTGTGACCATGTCATAATTACATGTACAGTAAATTGGTTCTTGTTGTAAAATGAGTCAGAAAAATTATCCAGAATCAACACCAATCTGCTGTTTACTGTTAGCGACTATTACAGACTGCATAATGTTTAGCTGTCTTGCTGGGAACAGTTCCATGTAGTTCTAATGAACAAAACCCCTGATCGACTGTTTAAATCAAACCTTGATAAAAGTAGGCTTGATAGTACATTTCCTAAGGTGAAACAAATTCTAATTTTTTTTGGCTTTACATTGTAACCAAACAAACTTGTTGGATTAACCTTATCATAACTGTTAAGAGTCCACTGAGTGGGTAACCTGAAAACACTGATCCCCGGTCCGCTGACTACCTATGGACCGGTCCACGGACTTCCCCTATGGACCCCCTCTACAGACCACCCCCAAAAATATAATAAAAATTAGAAATAAATACTTCACTTATGGGTTGTCTAATAGATTACTCGAGTTGGCGAATTTTTGAGTATTACACTGTGCAAATGTAATTAACACCCTCCCCCCCCAAAAAAGTCTATAAGCTTTTTTCAGCGTAAGGAGATGCCGATGGCACTGAAAAAGCAGGAAAATAATAATTATTGTTACATTGCATTCGTGGCTCAATCTGGCTATGGAAGATGTGTTTTTAGGTTGTTCAAGCTTGTTTGTATCTGTAATTGCGCTGAGCAAATTATGAAGCCTGGAACGATTTCACGAATCCACGTGAAAATGGGTTGAACAAAATGGTGGAGAGGAAAAAGCACAAATTCCAAGGCTTCCCAGAGGCTTCCTGGAGACTTTCACTGTCTTTCATATACAGTATGGCCACAGCAAAGGAAATGGCAATGTGTAATGATACAACTTGTGCCCGAGCTTGAACCCCAAGAATGTTACATTTCCAAAATGTAAAGTTTGAAATTTCACCGACACGATCTACTAGACAACCCATAACTGAAATATTTCTTTCTTTTTTTTCATTCTAATTTGGGGGGTCGTCCGTAGAGGGGGTCCGTAGGGGTAGACCGTGGACCAGTCCATAGGTAGTCCACGGACCCGGTCCGTAGTGGGGGTCTGCAGACCGGAGGTCAGTGTTTTCAGGTTACCCCCATTGAGTACCTCCAGGGGCTTTTAATTCACAAAAAAATAACTCTTGGACGCCTTGCGTGCCTATGTTTTAAAACACTTGCTGTCAACTGGGTATCTAGACACAGGCAATAACATTAAAGTTTCACTGATCTGTATAGTTGGGAGTTCAAAAATTGTCAACAGTGAGCAGTTTCAACAACACATTCCTGTGTATGAGTGGCCTGTGTGTAAAACCGTCAGTGTATGTGAAATTTTACTTAATAAATACATATCATGTGTAAATTAAGCTGTCATATTGCACACAATTTACATACATGTAGTTGCTGTAGTTTCTTGTCATTGAACACTGATTTAAGGATTTAAAGCTAAAATTAAGGGTGTTTTTAATAGGTCATACCACTGGCATAAGAACTTGCAATGTCAAGAAAATGATCATAACTTAGTCACCAATGTTTGGCCATTTTCATGACACTAATATTACAGCATTGTTGCATCAACTGAAATAGAATGGTAGGTTTAATTCATCAAAGAAGAATTAAGGGCTGAAAAATGCTGGAAACTCTTGTCAGCCAACATCAGTTTTTGTTTGCTTTGTTTAATTTTTTTCTCAGTAAATTGACAAAACAACAGCTTTTGAGCTAGTAAGCAGTCTGTGGTAGTGGCCAGTGACAAATGTTTATTGTCAGTGCAATGCAAAATAACGTTGAAAAACTAAGAATTACTGACAATGATTCTGAAATAGTTGACATGACATATTTTGTGTACACCTTGTTGAAATAATGAAAGCCAAGCAATAACTGAATGTGTTAATTGTTGAACTCTAAACAACATAATGCCTGTATTACTGCAGCATGTTAAATACACGTGCCCATCATTGCAGCACAAAAAAGTTGTTTGACATATACATGCACAAAGAGGTATGTTAACCTCCGCTACTAGTGGAATAAATATTCAATGACCAGTGAAATCACTGTTAGACATTTTCAGCTTCATATACCCATAGATATCAATTATTTCTAAACCAGACTTAATCAGTTGACATATATAATCATTCAGTTACATATTTTAGTTGACATATATGCATAACAAGCTAAAAAATGCCACAAAATACCTGGCGTGATGGCTTTCTTTCTTGAAGCAGAAGGTTTTCTTAGGGCAGCAAGGCCTGACAGTGGAGGGGTAAAAATTCCAGGGAGAGGAGGAGGTGGAGGAGGTGGGCCATGACAAGGTGACATTCCAAGTTGTGGAGGCAGGGGAGGTGGTGGGGGTGGTGGAGGTAAAAAAGCTGAACTGTTGGAAGAAGGTACAGCAGCATCTTGCACAGTGAGTGAAACTGGGAGAATAGACAAATGAAGGTCATTTGCTTCAACTGGGAGAGGTACTGGGGAAGCAGGAATTTTGCATTCAGGTGAAACTGACAGAGGAATTAAGGAAGGCTGTGCTGGTGGACAAGGAAGTGGTGGAGGATACTGCATACATTTTTTTGAACAGGGGCTTGATGGTGGTGTGCGAGTAACTGACAAGCCTGCTCCAGAAAACATTGAACAGCTGGCTGACTTGCTTGATCAAAGCTAAATGATGATAAAGTTTCTGACATTGAACCTGAGGAGAACACAACAAAAAAGAATTAATATCTATAGATTTAGCCAAGCCTAAAAGCAGAGCTCCTGGGCTGGGTTGATGCAGTGAGGTTTTCTGTATATTGTTTGGCCTTCTGTTTTGAGTTTGAACAATCTCAAAATACACAAAACAAAAGCACTGAAAAACATTTGTCTACAAGAAAAATTTATACTTTTGTTAACTTTTAATCCTGAGTTAGCTTTAACTGGCTTCCGAACAACCCAGCCCTGTTACAACAAGGTAACCAGACATGAACCCGCAATCCAATAAAAAAACCAGCACTTGGTCAGCGGTCAACTTCAAAAAACCACATGGCCTTGATGAGCTCTAAACTTGAATCCACAATATGGACATGTGCTGCTGGTCAGCAGATACCTTGTTTTGACAGGTGTCAATTGAGATAACTTGGATGTCCCATATCAAAGAGGGACGTTATAAACCAAGGCTGCATGTCTATTACCTGCATCCTATTACCTGGAGTGTGGCTGCTATCTTGGGCAACTCTGCCTCGGTCATGCATATACACCCATGGGCAATGCCACTAGCCATGATAACCATAAAAAAAATCAATTTCTGGATTTTCTTTTCTTTCCTATATGAGTATGAGGCTTCACTTGGAAGCCCTTTGGGCCACTGGAGCTCCGCAACTAATATGTTATTGTCGTAATGTTAGCATGATTAACAGCACTTGAAATTAGCAGTGGTCAATCTGGTCATGCAAGACAACCAAAATGCCAGATACAACATTAAATTTTTTGGTTTCTTTATCATATAAGGTAGATAGATTTCATGTTGGCATGTGACTGTTCAGTATTAGTATCAATCTACTAGCATTCTATCACCAATGCTGTTCTCTGCATTTTTGAAGTGTCTGTCAATAGGATTTAGATAAAGTTTTGAACGACTAGTAGATTTATACTAAAACAATTCAATTATTCGCTCTCGATTTCTATGCGTGATTAGTTGACGAGGGCAGCCTGAGTTAACTATCACATGATAGAAATCTTGAGCTCATAATCTAATTGCTTATAATAGATCACAGAAGATTTCAGAATGTCATAAGAAGGTTGTAGGTCGTTTTGATACAAAGTTAATTTGTTTCACTTCAAGTGGTTTCGACACCAATCAAAGTTGATTTGATACACATCCAAAGTTGATTTGATACAAACTGAAGTTGTTTTGTTGGCAAAAGTAAACTCAAGGAAATATAATTCCAATTAAAGTGTTTTTGTCTTTGTTCACTTAGCACAGATGAGAAATGTTTCATGCATGTAGTTCCATATATGACAACCATCAAAACAATTGTATTACCCACTCTTCCCATGGACAAATAGCAACAAATTTTTTTGAACTACTTAATACAGACATTCATATTTGGTCATGAGTATTTTATAGATGTGGTGGAGCCGTACAATTTTGATCTAGGAAGCTGCTGGGACGTTAAGGTAAGAGTATGCCTTAAGGAGTTTTCTAGCAAAACTTAACTTCAAGTAAATGGCTGTTGTATCAAATCAACTTCAGTTTGTACCAAATCAACTTTAGATTCGTATCAAATCAACTTCGATTTGAATCAAATGACTTGTATTGTACAACTTTTTTTATTGAAACTACTGGACAGCTGTAAAAACATCAGTGACACACTCACCTGACTGCTAATGTGCCACTTTTTTGTTCTTACCACATTTTGATGTCATCTGTCATCAATATTACAGAACAGCTGTACAGCAACATGGAATCCATTTTGTTAAGCTTGCCCAGCATGAAATCATGAAACTCCCCTTTTGATAAGAGTTATTCACAGCTAGCTTTCAACCCGGTGTTCATAACTGGCTATCTTTCCTCAGTGCGTATATACCAGGCGTAGTTAATTGACAAACCAATAAATTATCGATATTAATCGATAACAATTGATATGATATCGATTGCCAGTAGTAATCAAAGAAAACCAATGATGAAAAAAAGTTGCAAGTTCGATTGTTATTGATAGCTGATAGTGATAGATAATGATTGACTCATTGAATAGTATTGACTATTATCGATTGTTATCGGAAATTATTTTTGTCCTTTTAAAAGTTACACTGATAAAATGTTTGACAAAATGTGTCTGTAATGGTTCTATTGACAGAGTCATTTTATCATAGCCTGCGTATCTTCTACAATCATTGACAAAATAACAAGAACAGAAACAACTAACAGAAACATTTAGGGCTTTACATCTTTCTTTGCTAGTTTAAGACACCAGAAGAAGCTCAGGCCAGGGTAGCAGTGTAAAACCCTCCTCCAATTGTAGCATTGGCATTTGGATGAAGCAAAATAAACAACAGAGTCAGCATTCTAGTAATTTCAATTATTTGCATTAGGAAAAAAACGTAAGAATAGATCTCAGAGTAGGCCAAAAGGAAAACATAATCTAGTAGCATGCTGAACCATCTTTGAATAGTCTGGGTGGTTATTGTATATATATATTTTTTTCAATCGATAGCAAGCGATATTCCTGAAGAAAGGAATTATCAATTGTTAACAATTTTTGCCAATCGAGAGCACTCGATAAAGGAATTTTTCTGTGAGTTTGATTGCTTTCGATTGCTAATATCAATCGATGACAATCGCGATTGATATCGATTGATTTCCGATATCGATTTTTATCGATTGACTACGCCTGGCCCATGTATAAACTTATCTTTGAATAGCAAGAAATTCTAGTTCCTGTCTGTTTCAAGAACAGAACTGTAATGTTTCAAGTTGGAATAGTGGTCAGAGGGGAGGCCAGATGAAAGGTGGAGTAAACGCTTTCAAAAGTTTCAAACAAACTTATACGGCAGCCGAGCACATCACGTGGATTAACATAACATGTTCATCTCATTTATTTAGACTTACTAGCCTAGGTTAAATAGCTTGACCAAGCCAGCAACAATGAAAAAAGGCATGATTAAAACCAGCTGAGACCTTACTAACCTGACCACCGACAATAAGTGCAAAAGTGTCAAAAAATATCACTCGCAGATTTCACATGACAACCCTTGACAAGTCGTATTTATCCGGGACGTTTTGTGTGGGTTTACACGACGAACAAGTGACCAGCACGGTCAGCACCAGTCTGTCGGACTGCACTCGTCCACATTTGTCATGTCAGACCTGTGCTCTGGAGCGCGTATAGTGCAAAACTAAGTGAAAAACCGCTACGCAAACGTTACGTTCTTTTGATGTTTGTATTTATGAAACGACATCTGACGATCTGACGATCAGTAGTTAAAGTCTTCTGAAAACATGGAAGAACTTCAGCAGCTCGAGCAACTTTCTCTGGTATCTAAGATCTGTACTGAATTGGACAATCACTTGGGAATCAATGATAAAGATCTAGGTGAGTTAAGCTTACATCTACATTTGATGTTTGAGCTTATTCTTTCGTTGTTTTTTCCTTCCTTCGAAGGGTTGCGGCGTAGCTTTTTCTTAAGAGAGCCAGACTGGGAATATTAAGGATCGTTGCCTTGGCCAGGCTAGAAAAATCGAAAATCTTGACACTTTGCCTGAAGAATCTGTTAGGAAACTGTCTTTAAACCCTTGTCACTTAAAAAAAAATTTAAAAAAAAACAGTGTAACTTTTCTACTTTCTACCAATGACACTGTTAGAAGTTCTGCAGCTGTTTCAATATGAACTCCGTCATAATGCTGAACCCTACAATAATTATTCAGACTGGACAAGACATCTGCAATGTTGGTCTTGCCTGGTCTTTAAAAAACCTTAAGGTCATAAGCCTATAGGCAAAGGACTCATCTTTCCACATGGGCAGAAGGCCTTGACTTCTGTGAACAGATGTACATTGTGAACTCCAGCGGCTTAAGGTATCAGAATACCTCAATTCACCATCTTACATTAGTGTGTTTTTGTACAGAGGCTTTGAAAATAACCCTCCATAAAGTATACATGTACATTTCCTGAAAGCTTAATAAATGACAAATTCAAAAATGCTTTTTATTTTTTTTGAAAATATAAAGAGGGTCTCCTATACTTTTTTTGTGATGTGCGAATGGGCATTTTTGCCTTACGTGAAGCGTGAAATTATGAGGATTTATTTTTTCTGTGATTAGTGAATCTACATTTTTCCATCCTCGGGAAACTGGTGTTCGATTTTTTCGTGATCCATGAAATATGCTTTTATTTACGCGTGATTTGTGAATCAACGACTTTTGCAGTAAAAATTTTCACTTTTGGGAGATTTTAGTGTCATTAAAGCTCGTAAACTACACCAAACTACATGTAGATGTGGAAATAGATGTATTTGTATTTGTATGTTTTGTGAAACGTGAATTAAATTTGTATTTTTCTGTGATGACTTAGCCTTTGCATTTTTATGTGAAGCGCGATTGCTTGCTTTTTTCTTTGAACATGAAGCTGTTTCTTTGAATTTTTTGTGATACATGAAAAGGCCAATTGCTTATGCGTGAAACTGTTTTCAGAAGAGGTATAGGGGACCCTCTATAAAAGGTCTAGAAATTTTGCATAACAAAGCAGTAATATTTTTATCTTTTGGTCTTCATCAAGTTTGTTTACACACCTTGATTATCACAGCAATGTAATTTATATGGGACTTGATTTGTTACACCATGCCCTTTAAAAGTTTGTCTTTTGTAAAGCATCTATATGGGAACATTTCAGCCAAATTTCAGCTAAATCTGTTGAAAGGTGGCTGTACACTGTAAATGAACTTAAAATGTACATGCACATTCCTGTATGGCATTTTTGTTTTAGAGATACAGATGAAAAAAGCTTTTCCAATTTGGTTTATTCTAAGTGATTGATGACACACGAAGTGTTGGAGTTAATGATTTACTTACAGGTGATTCCAAGGATTGGCTTACTGTAACTATGGTGTTGATAGCAATCTGCATTTAACAGATATCAAAATGATAGAAAATTGAGAAAACATAGTGGATCTGGATGCAGCAAATTAATACTACGGTAGCTAGAGAAATGGTGAAATGCAGTCAGATTTCTTTTTCAGTAATCAGTTTAATTACACTACTGAACATCTGCTTGTTAATTTCGTTAAGCATCTGCTTGCTTGGATTTTCTGCCAGACTATCATGACTTTTAGCTTGTTGTTAGTGAACATGCTTGCAGGGCTCTCAAGCTGATTTGTACTGTTGCAATCGAGTCCTGACTATTCACAGTGTTATTGCATTAATAAGTAGAGCTCTGATTAATACATGTAACTAACCTGACAGTGATATCTAATACAGCATAAGTTACATTTTAGATATTATACATGTAGCTCAGCAATAACTGTAACAGGGTATTTGAGTATTTTTCTGGGTCTTATGGATTAGTCATATTAAACTAAATAGCACCTATGGTGTTCAATAACTTGTTGACATTGTTGTTTTTGTCCATGTAGCTGAGTTTATAATCATGCTTGGAGAAAGAAACCCCACCTTTGACAAGTTTCAGGCAGCTTTAGAAGAAAATGGTGCTGAATTTCCAGTATGTAAAACCATATGCTTAGTGACATTTTTGTCTTGAGTAAAATACATTGTCAGTAAAGTAATTGAAGGGGTGAGTGCAGAACCATGCTAAGTGACGATTTGGGTGAAAAAAAAAAATTTTGCAAAAGGGCTTGAATTTTTGCCTGTGGTCTTCAATGTAATAGAAAAACGTGGTCCTGTATTTTTGTCACTGGTTTTTGCTTTGTTTTTGAGTTAAAACGTATGCAAAAAAACTTGGTTTTCTCCTAGCCATGTCTTTAGGAGTTTATTTGTTGAACAGTAAACAGGCAGACTGTTTATAGTGTATGAAGTCAAAATCGAATCCCACAGCATATAGAGTGGAAATCTGGGAACAGATTGTTTACATTGGTTATTGTGATGTGAACACAACACATGAATTGATCGAGCATCAAACAAAATACCATTGAACAAAAAAGAGATGTGCCGCATTAGAGCTCTGTCAACTAATATCTTAAGCATGTTTTAAAGTACCTTGTACATGTATGCCTGCTTGGTGATTGAGAGCCATCATAAAGCCTCGATAAACCCGTAATCCGTAAGTCATCAGCACGTTTTAAAGAATCAAAATGTGTTCTGAAACTTTGAAGGCAGCTGATATACCGTAATCTTGTTATCGNCTCAAAAGTGAACTTTGTCAAAAACGCTCCAAATTTCGCATGCAGTTTTGTTTAGGTATGTTTAGCAATGTCCCGTAGTTTTTCTGCTAAACTTTGCTTTGTTTTCGAGATATTGCATATGCAAAAACCACTCAGTTTTCCTAGCGGCGTCTTTATAAAGCGAAGTAAAAACCAGTGGCAAAAATACAGGACCACATTTTTCTATTACATTGAAGACCACATGCAAAAATTCAAGCCCTTTTGCAAAAATTTTTTTTTCACCCAAATCGTCACTTAGCATGGTTTTGCACTCACCCCTTCAATTAAAATGCTATGCAGTCTCCATTTGTGTGCTATTTATAAATTCACACTTGACAGCTGTAATGCTTGCTACATTGGTGAGACCACTCACTACATTTGCACACGTTTCTGTGAGACCTTGTGTTGGACAAGGCTTTGCATGTTTACAGGTAATTGCAGTCATCTAGGACTTGTCACAACTCTTGCTCTGCAGCATCTTTCCTGATTTAAGATTCTGCTTCCTCAAGTTTGTATGATTCTGCTACCTCAAGTTTTTGGAGGCATACATGTAGTATATTAAATGGGAAAATCCAACTCCAGCTTAGGCACTTAGATTTACCTCTTTCTTTTTAATGTTATATTTTTTTGCTGTTGTTGTTGTTGTTTTTTTTCATTTTGGTTTCTTGCTGTTGGTGGTTTTGATCCTGTCTTAGCTAATTGTTGTTCTTTGTTTCGAGTATATTTCAAATATTCAATATGGTGTATCCGTACTTATGACTTAATTTTACAATATACAATCATGTTACTATACAGTGAAAATTCAGATGTATAACCATCAAGTACTTGTCACTGAAGACAATATGTGGGAATGTTGAAACTTGTGTTGTAAATTGAAAAATGATGTTCCTTTTTTAAAATTACAAATTAAATATAACAACTGTTCACATGTGATCAACTGGTCACAACCAGTGGGTCTATCTTTCAAAAATGGCTGTGGAATTGACCAAGGGGACACCCTGTTGCAACCCCAGCTACATGTAGAAGGGGTGACAAAAGTGTAGTTGAGATACTTGGCCGTATTTAACTGCTTATTCTATTTCAAATGTATCTAGTAATGATTCTCTGATACCCCTGGGCCCCCAAATTCAATGTCGTGTAGGTGCTTTGGTCTGCGCAGTCTTAGAAATAGAAAAATCAACATTGTTTGTAGTGAAGGAGGGGGGGGGGGGATAATGTTTCCAAGATGCTCAAAAATACAATGTAGGGTCTCTGCACTTTTGTTGCTCATTGTAGTTTTCAGAATGAGAACTGAAACTGCAAGCTTGGATTTCAAGTCCAGTGATCAAACTGCTCAGCCACACTGTCTCCTGATACACCTGCAGTCCAGTAATTACCTGATGATGAAATTTCTCTCTTTAGGAGTCATTTACCTCCAACTTGTTACGACTGATTCAGAAGATGAAACCTAAGCTAGACACATCAGATGATCAACCAGGTCTGAAGTCAATTTGCTACTTAGTAATAATGTAGGGGTTAACAAGCACAGTATGGTGTCCCAGGATATAACAAAGGGCCAAAAGAAAATTTGGAGAGGCTCAGAGATAAGAAATTGATCGTAATTGCAATAGGTGTTTTGATCACTTTTTTTGACTGACAATACTTGTACCTTTGAGCAACTAGAGAACCATTATGTTCATTAATCTAACAGAAGATCAGTCATTACAGGTGTACTAGAGAAACATGAAAGTTTCAGGTGATGCCGTTATTGAAATCTGAGTTACCATAGCATGGTAATGATGTCATCCCTCATATGATGAAAATGGCATGTGCTTTTCATGACAGGATAATGTGGGAAAATGATCTCTGAGTCTTAAACTACCTGACATAAAATGCAAATGCAACAAAAGAAAAGCTGTCTTTTATGGCTTGATGAAATAACATGAAATCCGTAGAGGGAAATCTTTCATTTGATATTTCAGAATTTGAACTAGTTTGGTCTGTTATTTTGCTTTTTTATCAAAAATTGACCCCACCACTATTAAAGTTTACATTACAGATTTTTGTTTTGTTGCTTTATGGAATCTACACAATATTGTCAGTGATATGGAAATTGAAAATTAAAATTGGATATAGTTGTGTTTTTTCAGTGTGTTTTAGGCATCCAAAAACATGAAATTTCACTTCTGGTTGGGTCAGAAACTGTGGGGGGTTAGGATCTGGGACTAGTCAAGAATGTAGGCCTACTTATCTTTTGTGAATGTTTAGAATTTTGCTTGAGCACCTAATTTGTAGTATATTTCATATATTTATTTATTTGTTTTTTTCATTTCTATGTGTTTGGTTGAAAAATTGAGTAAACCTGCATTCATGTTTTGACGTCACAGGCTTGTTAGTCTTAGGTCCTAACCCCTCGCGGTTTCTGACCCAACTGGAAGGGAAATTTCACGTTTTCAGATGGCTGAAACGATATCCAATTTTATTTTTCGATTTCCATATCATGATAGTTATCTTGTAGATAATTCCATAAAGCAAACATGTGTAGCAAGGATTTAAACATTACCAGCTCATTACTGCCAGTTAATTTGGTAAAATGACTACTGGAGACAAAACTTAGAAACTGTGGGAATAAAAATATTATTGTGTTCGGACACACAGTTAAAAAGTGATACACCTTTAGGCAAATAATGTAGAATAAACACTACAGAGTCAATTTGTTTGCAGGAACATCTGTAGATGACAACAAAGAAAACAAAGTTACAGCAGTCGTTGAGAAAAAAAGAACAGCATTTCCTGGGCTTTGCATCCCAGATCAGCTGACAGAGGACACAAGTAAAGTAAGGGGAAAAGTTCAAAAGAGATAAGAGTTGTTTTACTGTATACATCAGCTGTATTGTATTCACAAGCAAACAGATGACTGTGCAACAAACAAACAAACATAAGCCACTAGTTTTCCTGTAAGTTTTTTTCAAGTATTAAGTAAATTAACTTTAACTTTCACTTCAGAGCACTGAAGACGATGAAAAAGTGGCATCAACAGCTCTTGGTGAGGTGAGCTGCACACTTTTGTTTTTAGTGTTACATGTAATCCGGGAGGGGGGTACTCTTCAAAATTTTGTATGAAGAGGCTCTGCCTCGAGGTCCAACTCCTTACCCCTTTGTATACCATTTTGATAGAAAAGGTGCCCCTTTTATTGAGCCCAGGCTTTTAGCCAGATCGGTGTCCAGGTGTCCTGTGGATGGCCATTTTCTAAAGAAAATTGTTTTATTAGTGCAGAGTGCACTATAGGGATGGTTTAGGGGGCTGCTGTTCGCTAAATTACTAACACAAAAAGGTGTAAACTTTAATGTCTGTTTAATTTATTAATTTCAATTAATCAATTAGCCTTGCAGGAAGGGGGGCTAGGTGGGATAGGTATTGGTGTGCACTACACAAAACGTGATATACTTACGTTGGTTTTTTTGAAAACATGACAACTTTATATATGTTTTCGCAAATCTCTTGCTATCCTTGTGGTGCTGTTCTCTTAAAAAAAAAAAACAATTTGCTCGAAATGCAAGCGCAGATAGGTTAGCCTTCAGTGTCTACTACATGTTAGGTGAAAGATACATTTCATTCGGGGTCACTCACAAACGTAGAGTGCTTTTTCCTTGTGGTAGAACACAACATGTAAGACGCATGCGTTCTAGCATTGCTAGTGTGAAAAACTCGGTTTTGGAGTTCAGATCTGCACGTTTTTTCAAGTGACACAACACTTGTTTTGACCGGGGAAAGCAGCTGTATTTCAGGTAACATCAGTTCTCCCTTTTTTTAATGCAAATAATGCTACTGTGAATGTGTATCTTCTGGAATCAACCTTAGCTCGATTCAAGAAATTTTGTCTGCTGTTTTATAACTATTGTGTGTTTACCAGGGTTCAAATAAAGAATGGAAACATATTGCTTCTCCATAGCAGCTTGTTTATTTCCTCTTCTATGAAGGGAGCAAAAAGTTCATATTCAGCCAAAACTTTCCCGCATGAGTTAATTGTAAAAGCATAGGCACGCAAGGCGTGCAAGAGTTATTTTTTTGTGTGAAGTGTTGTAGATAGGAGCATTCATGGTACAGTAATGATTTGGTTAATTTGACATTTTTTTGATTGCGATGTTACATCGGTCATGGTAAGATAGCTAAATAGTAAGCCATAAAATGTTTGACTGAACAAACTACAGTAATCTGACATGTCTCCAGATTAATG